TGATAGTAGCCCGCCAATCCCATGAATGAACGAACGTCCGTGGTGTTGGTGGGCTCGGGCCATACTCGTAGGGCCTCGATCTTGTCCGCGAGCGGACGGATGCCTTGTAGCGTCACATAATGGCCCAAGTACTCCAGCTCCTGCCGCGCGAATTCACACTTGTCGCGGTTGGCTTTGTACTTGGCCTGTCGTAGCCGCTCCAAAACGGTGCGCAGGTGTTCCACATGCTCCTCCAAATTCTGGCTGTACACCAGGATGTCGTCGAGGTAGATAAGTACGTATCGATCCAGCATGTGTCGGAACTCCGTTGTCATAGCCGCTTGGAAAGTGGCCGGGGCATTCGTAAGGCCAAATGGCATAACCAGCCATTCGAAATGCCCATACCGTGTCTTGAACGCGGTCTTGTAGCGATCCTCCTTGCGAATCTCGAGTTGGTGGTACCCTGACTTGAGATCCAGCTTGGAGAAGAGCTGGGCGCCGCCCAATCGCTCGAGAAGATCATCGATGCGTGGGAGAGGGCCGGCGTTCCTGATCGTCTGCGTGTTGAGCTCGCGATAATCGATGCACAACCGCAGGTCCTTGTTCTTCTTTCGGACGAAGAGAACAGGAGCACCGTATGGCGATGAGCTAGGCCGAATCCAGCATTTCTCCAGTAGGTCGTCAAGTTGTGCCCGAAGCACACTTAACTCTTCCTCGCTCATTCGGTAGATGCAACCGCGCGGAGGTACGGCCCCGTCCTCGAGGATGATCTCGTGGCGGATGGGTCGATCCGGTACTACTCCATGTGGGCCTTCGAACACGTCACTATAGGCGTCAAGAAGCTCGGTGATGCGTGGATCTGAAGGTGAGTCCGTCGATGAAGCGTCATGGGGCAGGAGGGCGTGGAGAAAACACACCCCCATCTCCTCGATGTCGTCTCTGATGATGGAAGCTCACATGCTTGCGGCGGATACCACGTGGCAGCTGATCGAAGGATGAGGAAGAGGCACCGTGCAYGAAACTAATACTCYGTTCCGGTCACGAACGTGAACRGTGCGGTTGAAGAAGTTCACCGGGTGATCCTTGCTTCKCARCCATGACATGCCCAAGATCATGTCGAATTTGGTGTCCAAAATGTCAAAGGACACCGCCTCACTTGCGTGAGGGGCAAAGTACACTGGGACGCTGTCAATGCACCGGTCGATTGAATTGTGCGTGTGACCGTGCGCCAATGTGACTTGCGTAGGCTGGGGCTTCCTCCCGACGCGTGGGCCAAGGCCGGCGCGCACCATGAAGTCCTGGCCGATGTAGTTGCGAGATGCTCCGCAATCGATCAAAGCGCTGCAGGTCGCTTCCCCGATCTGAATGCGTACATATAGCAATGGTGCGTCGATGTCGTCGTACCATTGCGTCTTGAACTCGCGGTCGATCTTCGCAATGTAGACGTGAAGGTCGACAACCTCTACTCCGGCGTCCATCAACGGAGTGGGTACTGCAGTGTGCAAGTAATCTCGCAGTTGTGCCATGAGCACATTGCAATGCGGTTTCGGCAATCGTCCGGTCGAGGGAACGGGCATCCACTGGAAGTCCGTGAACGTCAATGGGTCGAGCTCTTCAAGTCTTGACCATGACGTCGAATCCCCGGCGATAGGTTGCGGCGAAGGTGCCGAATCGGTTGCCGATGGTGATGAAACCGTGCATGCGGTGGATTGTTGCACGTGGAGCGGTTGGTCCAGCGGTGGAACCAAGTGGACAGCATAATCCTCGTAAGCATACCGAGGACTTGCGACATTCGCATCCTCCCCAGATGTGCAGGAGGCCACTAGCAAGTCGGCCGAATCTGGCGGAGTAGAAGGTGGAGTCGCCTCACCTTCCACGGAGCTCAGTTTCCCGAGCTGATACTGGCTGTCCATTTCCGGCCTGCGATGCGGATTTCGCCTTCCCATTGTTGCGGGACTTGTTGTTGCTTCGCGACTGGACAACAGCCACCTGATCTCCGTCACTTGATACTGGAGTGGCTGCTGGGTTATCTCCACTGTCCGACTGGACTGCAGCGAACTGCTGCTGTCGCGGACCAGTTCGTACCTTCTCCACATAGGTTGGCTGCCACGTGGACTTCTCGTGTGCAGCCGGCCTGTCAGTCTTGATGAGCTCTCTCGCCTTGTTGATGATCTCTGCGAAAGTGCTGTACTGCTCGCGATCACCAAGTGCGAGGCTGAGAGCGGCGCATGACCTGTTGTAGAACTCACGCCGCAGATGTGGAAATGACAAGTCCAAATCGGGCGTTGCCACGATTTTCTGCCAATCCGTGAGCCAGTCACGTGTCGGTGTGCTCCCTTGAGCCATCGTGAAGATGCGGTTGACGGCGAGTGTCGGGGCGTCGTCGACGATGAACCGCTTCTTCCATTCCTTTGTCATGTCCTCCCAGGAGACCTTCTCGTACAGGTCTGAAACCTGGACGCCGTGGATGGCTGCCATGTGGCTGAGCCAGATCTGACAACCTCCCTTGGTGTTGATGAACAGAGCACTGATGAACAAATGGTCAGGGACTTGTGAATCCCCAATTCCATTGTAAATCCTTGCCACCAGACGACCGGGTCTTGATGTGTGTAGTCATCAAATTTCTCGATCCGGAACGTCGGCATCTTGTATGGCCTCGCCGAGCTGTTGTTGTGGCTGTGGTCTGTCTGCTGTTGCTGACTGATCCTAGTGTTCAGCAACTCGAACCGCTGGCTGATGGTGGCCGGCTCTGTGAAGGCACTTATGTCTCCTAGCATTGCCACTTCGTGGTCAACGCGTTCCTCCAGTTGGCGGCTAGAGGATGCACTGCTGGAAGCTCCAGCATCTGGTCCGGGTACAGCCTGTTCCAGGCCCAGTACACGGGCGTCCAGTGCCCGTGTGGGATCCTCGTGCTGAATCTTATGGTTCCGCACGACCCGCTGAAGGTTTGCCAGCTTGGACTGTAGGTGGTTACACATGTAAACCAACCTGCTTACGAGCTTGGCCATGAACTCCTTATGATGCTCTTCCGGTGTTGGCTCGTCGCCGTTCGGTTCAAAGTGCCAGTACTTGAGTTTCTCAATGCTGTTGGCTTCATGCCGCTGCAGCAGAGCCTGGGCTTCCTTGCGGCGAGCCTGGGCATCTGCGTCTGCTTCGGCCTGTAGCCGCAGCTTCTCTGCTGTTGCCGCTTCGTCAGCCTGTAGCTGGGCAGCCTTGACTGCCAGCTGGCGTTGTTCCTCAGCCTCGATTGCAGCGAGCTGAGCATGGACGCGCTTTTTGTAGTCGGCAATGGGCTCATTGGCCAGTTGGCCTGGCAGGCCCGTCATGTTGCTGACGTGGCACTGCTGACGTGGCACTGTGTCTGATGTGGCACTGCTGACGTGGCACTGCTTACGTGGCACTGCTGACATGGCACTGCTTACGTGGCACTGTGTCTGACGTGGCACTGCTGACGTGGCACT